TCTGGTTTCTCATGGAGCGAAGATCAACCTCCAAGATTGTAATGGATACACGGTGAGGGGGCAAAGAAAACATCGACTGGCCATTTGTTCATTGATCAGTGAGGAAGTCTTCAGCTTGAATGACTTCCCAGAGAGCTGGTGATTTTTCAGCAGCTACTTAGAGAAATAAATACAATTTGTAGTATTTTTCATAACAAACACGAGCTACTTATAGTTATTATGTGTTTCTGTTTTCTTTGTTGGTTGGATTGTTGACTGGGGAACACTAGGCTCTTGCAACAGCAGCTCAGTATGGTCAAGAAAATGCTGTGAGGAAGCTTCTGCAGCTCGGGGCTGACAAGAGCATCAAGACGAGGGAGGGGAGGAGTGCTTTGGATGTTGCCAGGACACACAGACACACTCAGGTAAGGGAGGAGAGCTTTGGATGTTGCTAGGATACAGAGACACACTCAGGTAAGGGAGGAGAGCTTTGGATGTTGCCAGGACACACAGACACACTCAGGTAAGGGAGGAGAGCTTTGGATGTTGCCAGGACACACAGACACACTCAGGTAAGGGAGGAGAGCTTTGGATGTTGCCAGGATACAGAGACACACTCAGGTAAGGGAGGAGAGCTTTGGATGGCTATTGATGTAATATGAAGAGTATACACTCTGTTCAGTCAGTAATAGTTGTAACAGTTATTACAAATTTCTTATACATTTATATTCATCACAGATTTCTAGGCTCATAATGTGCTCCAGAGATGACGATGGAGATGTGGAAATGTCATGCAAGGAAAAAACACTCTCTCAATTCTTCAGACAAAATCCTGTGCCAGACAGTACCCCTGTAGTGAGGTGAGATGATGATTTACAGGAGTCTCCATAGCTAGTACATTTATAAAGTTGTCTGCTAACTTGTGGCAGAGAAGGTTCGTGTTAGTGTTTAAGGTACGGTCTGATATTATCCTTTTAACGTTGTGGAGAAACAAGCTAGAGAAGAGTGTTTGTTGTCTTCAGTTCTGTCAGACTGTCTGATGTTGAACTGCTTCTGCATGGACTCGATTTGGAGCGCCTTTCGGACTTGCTGGTGAGTACTTGTGCTATACTGTTACATCCTGTGAATAAGTGCTCACTTTGAAATGGAAAAATACCGTAACGTCTTGAACCAACTGGTTTGGTCTTCAAAACAGGATAATGATGTAACCTGGACCGATCTTTCAACAATGGAGAAGGCAGACTTGGAAAAAGTAAGGCTAAAAGTCATTCTTAGTTCCCGTGTTGGTCCAAACAGTCGAGGAGTTGGATATGGGGTCTATGTTTTTGGTTACTTTTCCAGATCAGTGTTTCCCCCAGGTTTACAGCTTTGGTGGGGGGGGGCAGACAGACGACGACAGGATTCATGGTGTTCATGTGTTTCTTTTAATGACAGCAGTCAATATAACAAGTGAACTAAACATCAGAACATTTCTTTTTATGATGATTATCCACAAAGTGTGCAGCTTTTGTCACTGCAGTATATCTTTCTGGGCTTTTGGAAGAACATTTCTAGAGCCCCTTGATATGGGAAGTCAGAAACGTCTGGCCCATTTACTGAGATCCGCATGCAGGCTGCAAGATGGTCTCCTTGCAGCCTATTGCGGATGTTTGTCTTTACCTGCAAATACATTAACTGTTAGGCTTTAAAAGTGGTAGCTGATAGCTTAAAATATTGATAGTTTAAAGCAGAAAATCCCATTGTGAAACGTATTTATTACCTCTTTATACTTGAGAAGTCTCTCTCACAGTTTACACTTTTGGCCAAGGCTGATATTTCTGTCTGCTTTTAAGGTGGTTGATGCGACATATTTTCTGACACGCGCTCTCTGTCCGCTGGTGGGAGTGTGCTCACCTGTGTCTGTGCGCGTGCATCGGGGCAGAGCTCCGCCATGCGCGATACAGAGAGCAGAGGAGAATTGTAAACACGCGACCGTGTAGAGAGAAAAATGACAAGCTGTTGTGTAAATAAGATAAATAACAAGGCTATTTAATAAAAGGACAATGTATAGACCTGTTCTATAGGAAAGGTAACCTTAAATGACTTCTGTTGTGATCTGGTGCTATACAGAAAATAAAATTAACTTGACCTTCAAGGGGGGGCGGGGCGGGGCGCCACCCTAATATAATGGTAAGGGAAACACTGCAGATAATTTTTACACGATGGAACTAACTCTTACCTGCAACATTCTTGTGTCAAATTACAGAACAGTGATTGTCTCTAAAAATCCATACTTTGAAATGTGAAAATGATATATATAAGCAGAATCTATATTGTATCATAATATAATTTAGTCACTCGTTGTGGACTTGATACCGCAAAACCGTCTTGCCGTAGATGGGCATCACAAACCCAGAAGATCAGAAGAAGATCTTGGATGCAGTGTCGACGATGAACCTGGACTCCATAGCTCCAGATGTTCTTGCGCAACTGGGCAACATCGACAGCCGGTCAGTGTACGGGCCGCTTTCCGTCAGTTAATCACCACAGAAACATTCCTGTGGCACAGAGAGTGAGATTACAGCACTGGCTGTGATTGAAGGTGACAGAGACCTGTGATGTTTAGGAAACACTGGAAGTAAAAGTTGCGTAGTAAAATGGATGTTTTTTTGTATTATATGGAGCTTTTATATTTTTATGAAAAGATTTTGCGATTCTTTCAGCATTATAGAAACTTTCGCAGAACTAGCATATCGGAGAGGGTTTTATATGAATAATTTTAGCTGGTAGCTTCCATCTCGCTTCAGCTCGGTAGACCTTCTCAGGCATTTCTCTGCTGTTCCCTGAACATGTGCTACGCTCTGTGCTGCAAAGCAGCAGTGAAGATCTGTACACCCTGCTGGTCAGTCTTAGACAGCAATGCTGCTGCCTTACGGAGGTGGTTCAGGACGCCATAAAGAAGTTTCCCAAACAGCCCTCTGAGGTAAGATGTGTTTCTCAATCCCAGGAAGGCAAAGGTCGTACTTGCGGTCTTGGCAAGACCGGTCCTACTTGCCTCCCAAGAACAAACTTGTGGCACAATGATTTGGTCTTGTTCAGTGATGATTCAACCAGGGATTTTTACAGTCCTCTCTGCTTCTGTTCTTGAGTATTGGAACTGCTCACTAGTTATGGAAGATGACGTAAAACGGGTGCACAAGTATGCACGAAAATTGGGAAACGCCCAAGGTGTCTGCTGATGTGTGCACGGCCAGCGAGGGCTATCAGTAAGATGTTAAGGCTCCACTCTGCACGGCCAGCGAGGGCTATCAGCAACATGTTAAGGCTCCACTCTGCACGGCCAGCTCATCCTGACCCTGGACCCGAAGCGGGAGTCGCAGACTGTCTGCAGCCAGCTGCTCCTGCAGATCGAGGACCTACAGAAGGAGGTGACGTGTATGAGGGGCCTGTTTGACAGGGTGAGCACTGGTCCCACCTCAGCAGAGCTCTACTGCGCTTTTTAACTGGGATCTCCACACCTATAGGGAATAGGCAGCCACGTCAAGGCACATCGCTTTCTATGTTGCTGTCACCATATTGGTACTGTGAAATTTTCAGTGCAATAAGTGTCCAGTTCAGTTTTTATCTTTACCTTCTGTATTGGACCTTTGTACTTGGTTACACTGGCACCTGTTGTTTTGCACTATAGCGGTACTGAGAAATCTCCTTAAGCATTGCATTCACACACCATTTTGCGATGTTTTCCACGCCCATCATCGGAACAGTTACGGCAGCTGATAATGGACAAACATCAGATATCTGCCAGACATGCAGATTGTGTCTATATATCATCGGTCGCTCCAGGACCATATCTGTATGTCTGCATGACGTGAAAATCAGGTTCAGTGTTTGCTCATCTGAACCAACCTGAGCTTGTAAATACATGTTTACCTGATACGGTCTGGGATCAGATCATTTTAATTCCTATTGTTTGTTTCATTCTTTGACCTCTTGCCCTGTGCCTTGTTTCCCTTTTATTCAGCTGCGTAGTTTTCAGAAGGAATTTCAGTGCCTGGCTGGTGACCTCTAAGGTCACACCGTCCCTTGTCATCATGCGCTGTCTGTTTTCCTTAATTGGGAAACGCTGTCTAAAAATGTTAGAGATGCTGTTTTATTCACAGAAATGGACTGGCATTCATGTTTAGCACTTGTGTAGAAATCCATGTGTTGAGCTTTTAAACCAAACCAAAGCACAAGGTTACTTGACTGAAACAGCCGTGAATGTTTAGTTATTCATTTGGTTCCTCCACATTGATCGTTTAGCATAAATCTGTGGTTCTGAGTCGTCCACTTATTCCACTTGTCCAAGATGGACCCCAGCGAGGACCCCTGTGGGCTGCCCTGGGCTGCCCGATGCAGCACCTGGAAGAGGAGGGTCCTGATGGGCTGTGCTGTGGGCGTCCTCTGCAGCGGCCTGATCTGTGTGCTTTCACACATTCGAAGCCCCAAGGTCGTGTAAACACCTTATGTACAGACAATCATTGATTTTTATAACCTTTGTGTTCAGGGTTTTTTGAGTTAATTGATTACTTCTTGCGTATTGTTCTGAACATTTTTTTAATAAATGTTGAACTTCTACAATAGTATGGTTCATTGTCTCAGAACAGCTAACTAAAGTTTTCAGTGTTAGTTTGTTTTGAAATGTAGGAAAGCTGTAGGATCACAGCTGGGGGGGGGAGGGGGGTGTCGGGGGATTGCCATTTCGTAGGGGGGGGGTCATCGTCTGATTTAAACAGAATTGCTGCTTGGTGTTCCATCCTTCCTTGTGCCTATAACTGCCATTATCAAAACCCGAATGAGCTTTAAAATGGCACATACAGATCTTATGTTGCATTAACGTTACATTGAGTGTCACAAGGTATACAGGATAGGGTTGTACTTTTCAGGGTTTATGTTCAAAAGAATAGGACATTGTTTCAAAAGTTATACACTCACCTCTGCTGGGGAATTGAAAACACTGCCCCTCCTGGTGTCTGGCAATTATATGAAACTCCAAATATGTATCCTTTGAATTTTTGAATTAATTTTATTTTTCCCTTCAGCTCTCATCTGAAGGCAGATGATAACCACCTTACTGTACAACAAAACCAGTTTTACATGGAAACGAAAAGTCAAACCAAGGCAATACTGCTTCTCCCTTTTCCCATCATGCCTTTGGAGTCCACAAGACCTCGGCTCAAGGGCCGCTTGACGGTTCAGTCCTAGATGCGTGTCAGCTGGTGCCACAGACTGGATGGCAGTATGTTCTCCACCTTCTCCATGATGAAGTTCAGTGGCGCAAAAAGGGTGCTGAGGAACTGGAGAGGAACCCAATAAGAAACACTGTAAGGGGAGGAACTTCCACATAATCATCTCAGCCAATGACTGAAAACCATCTCAGTAAAACATTTAAATGCTTTGAAGGAGAATGAAATCACTCAAACTAGGGAATTTCCACTTGCTCTTAGAATAGTGGTTTTAGTTTTGCTACTGCTGAAGTGAAACTAGATGGATCAGCAGTAGCGTTTTTCCCTAGTTCAGCACCATTTAACTAGGGCTGCACCTTATCACATCGTGTTTATAGGGCACATGTGCAATGATCACCAGGGCTTCAGATGGGTGTCAAAATTAGTCTGGACACCAGCTCTTCGGTACTATACGGATTTACATATTGGTTTACTTACGGCCATAATTTAGTAAGCAGATTAGTAATACACATAAAATATTAGACGTGTATTGTGGCATCCAAACGTTAAATAACTGTATAAATTTAGCATATCATTATGTTCAATAAATGTGTCGGACTTTAAACTGCAAATTGTACCTCCACACCACCATCGTATCTCTACCTAGTTTACCCACAAGATCTCCCCTTTTAAAAGACTTTGTGGGTGCTGAGCTGTCCCTTTTTTCACCGCCACTTCAGTGCTTATCGCTTACATAACACACCAAACAGCAGCATGTGGCCTGCTCTGCTAACCAAATTTAATAAAGATGCGCCGAATTTATGCAGATAATCGTATAGTATTGAAAATCTGGCGTCCGGACAAATGTTTACGCCCATCATCTAAAGCTCTGGTGACCGGGCATGTATCATGTAATCGGGATGATGATATAATGTGATATCCTGCAGACCAACATTTAACTGGTGACAAACCAACACAACCAGAGAACTGATGAATTCCCACAGATCATGGCAAATCCCTTACGTGTCAGCAAAACCGATCTATTGATAAAAGGCTAAGTGGGCAGCAGAAAAAATTATTGATTCAAGGGCTCATTAGAGTATGTTTCAAATTAATTGCGTTGTGTTTTAGCTGAACACTTCATTCAAGGGAGACTGATCTTTATCTCCTGGCTTCATGACATTTGGTAACAGGAGCTGATGACAGAATGTTGTCCTTAAACGTGCAGTACTGTGGTGACAGATGCCCACAGTGGCTGATTCATTGCACCTTTGCTACTCTAATTTGTGACTGGTGGCCTTTCATGTACCTAGAGCTGGGTCTTGATGACAGTGTTGAAATTTCATTGTCTGATGCCCGTTTTATCAAGATAAAATTCTAGAATGCTGTACACAGATTTTACGGTTCAGCGCCTCTTTGGGAGTGTGTGGTACAAATATAGCTTCTGCTCTGGTGATGGTCATGAAGCCGGCGTGATCAGAGGTACTCACAGCCTTTGCAAAGACCCCCATGAGCTCTGGGAACTGGTGAGTGAGGAGGGCTAGCATGGCAGTGAAGGAGCAGAGACCGGCCGTGAAGAGGATGAAGAAGGGCAGCTCCTTCTTGGGGTAGACTGACACCTCGTGGAAGACTGCTTACACGTGGGAAGAGGAGGAGAGACCGTAAAGCTATGCTGAGTTCAGTCAGCTTGAACACACCATAGCACCGTCAGTCCGGTGCTACGGTTAAGCACTTATTTGTAACAGGGTTGAGCCATTCCGGAATGCTTTCATCAATTCCAATCCAAATCAGGAAATGGAACTGGAGTTGGGATTGGGGAAAAAAAAACTATGGGGAACAGAATTGGAATTGAATTCGAATTCCAACTGCATTTTGGAATGGCCCCAACCCTGATTTGTAAATAAGACGAAGGCTTATGGGAGTTTTACTTACACTAAAATGTTGAAGGCAGAATGAAAAATCATTGGCTCAGAGAGATAACCAATCAGATTGTAGAGGAGGTGGGTCCAACCAATGCATCAGAACATTTTTGTGTAAGTAAAACTCCCACGAACAAGGGGAAGATGCAGGTTAACCCAAAGCTCAGGTGTGTTCTGACCCGTTTGGTCCTTTTTAGCATAGCATAAAAAAACCTTAACTGTCCAGCAGCTCTAGGTACCTGAAACTGTTGAGGTAGCTCACTCTCATTTTCAGGTACTGCTGGTTTTTCTACTCCATTCCCCAAGAAGGGGGGGCAAAGTGAAGTATCACTTACTTGGTAGCAACTCTCGATCTGCCGTCTCTGTGCAGACGGGGTACGGGTAGAAGAGATGACCTTTCTCCAGGGGGTATGGGATCATCCGGAAAGCTGAACCACAAACGAAAGGAATGATCACAACAAACACATGGGATCTGCACAGGGAGGACTGAGACTCATGGAATGATCGCAGATAACACGAGGGCTGCTGAGCACTGGGGTTAAAAGGTCAAAGGTGATGGCTACTCACTGCCCTCCCAGGTGCAGTGCAGCAAGTTGAGTGCCCCCTCCACCCTCTTCCAGTGCTGTAGGTGAAAAAAGGCGTAGGCGATGGCCTCACTGTCACCCCTCTTCAGGATGTGCTCGGGGGGCAGAATTAAGCTTTTCATCTCTAAGAGGTACTGCAGGGACAAGACACGTAGATCAGGTCACCCGGGTAACGCACCCAGCCCCCGTCACAGTAACAGGAGCCAGTATCCATTAACGGTAACCTTAACACTATCAGAAAACGTTTTCGTAAACTGAAATGAAAACAAACATCAAATACTTTGTTACTATTCTTAAATACCGTTTAGTTTTTAATTATTTGTAATTAAGTAATTATTTGTTTGGTTGTAATTACCATTTAGGATACCAGATCATGTTTTGTCCATTTTGAAGACATTAGTACATAACGTGCACTGTGTATTCACGTGGGATTCACTAAAGATCATTGTGTATTCACGTGGGATTCACTAAAGATCAGATAACTTTCAGTCAATCCCAAAACTGAAACTAAAATATACTAAACTAAATATAAATGTCTTAAAAAAATGGAAACAAAATTTTAAAAAACAGAACCCTAACAGTACTGAGGGAAGCTGGCTTGCTCACTTTGGGTACATGTGGGTTGAACTCCACTGCTCTGTGTATGGCTTCGACAGCGTTCATCTCTGCTGGGCTCAAGCCTCGCCGTGACGCTGCCTCTGGAGAGAACCTGCCGACGGAGTGGGGTCAAAGGTCAGGAACCACAAACGAACGAGAGGGCTGTAATTTCAATGAGGAAGTTGGGGGTATTCCCGCCAAACCAACTCGAAGGGTCGCATAGCCTCCTCTCGTTCGTAACTTTATGTTGTTACGTTCTAAAATCGCACAAACAGAAAACATTCCTTCATGCTTTAATTGACAGATCAAAGAAGTATCTGCTAATAATCTTTATTGAAAAAACAGGTTTGCTTACTTATCTGATACAGCTCTGGCTTTCAACAGCGCTGCTGTGTAGCATATCGTTGCGGATTTGGGTAAACTAATATCTGTGGAAAAGACAAGTCATTCTACAGTTCTGCTTCGTCCATTAGCTGTACAGACTGGAGGAAAATAAAGAAAATTAATGAAAGAACACTTTTTAAATTTTACTTCCACAAGAGGGCGTCGCAGAAGCACTGCCATTAAGCGGATAAATGAGTGCAGGATTTAAATTAATTGCAATATATACACATACATACAGTAGGAGCCTCATACTAAGGGCAGCTGTGGTTTCTGTATATATATTCCAGAACATGTATATTTTCATACATTTTTTTACCCGTTACTGATGTTTTACTGTTAATTCACACGATAATTTATGGTTTTAAGTGTATTAAGTCACACAAACCTTCTGTTAATTTCCTTCTGTGTTTGGTACAAGTATAAAGTGCACTGCAAAGCACCGCTGACACAATATGTTATTTTTTATTATTGTCAATTATTATTATTATTATAATTATTGTTAATTAATCATGCATCCAGACCCTGATTCCACAATACAGCTGTGTATTACAGTGGAGAAATCTAGGTTCACCGGACTGGTCATGGCCGCTTCATAGGCTTGAACCAGCAAACCTCTGGTTTTCTGAGCCTGAAACTCACCATCATACTTGGCCAGGACGGCCTGCACATCTGCATAGGCCTGCAGCTCCAGCAGGGACTCCAGCAGGTTTTCGTGGATATTGAACATACTGAGGAGAGGGAACTCCTTCATTAACTGGAAAACATACAACTGTTGTTACATGTAATACCACAGCAGATGGCGCTGAAGAGCATGACAGCACAATTGAACATGGAGCTTAAGGCTAACTGGCCTGGGGTGCTGAGATTGGCCATTACTGTGATCGTGTCCCGCCATCCACCAAGCTGCTCCCTTGCAGCGTGTCCCCCTGCCTCATGTCCTATGTAGCCTGGGATGCTCCCATATCCAAAGTACTGAGTGCTTTTCCCGGTGGAAGCTGAAAGTTTTGGGCCTGCAGGGGATCATCCAGCATCTAAAGGAAGGTTTTTGCCTAAAAAAATCTTTAGCTTTTGCAAGAGCGTAGGAGAGAGTTCGATACTGGAGAGCACCACTTAAGTTTATGTAAAGTGCTATTATTTGGCAGGTTCAAATGAAACCAAATTAAATGTTTGGTGGGGGGGATGTACCCCCCCCTCCAGTTCTTATGCCCCTGACTGTTTGGCCAAAATACATTTCTGATCAGCCCTCTTCCCTTTACCTTTCATCTTTTTGGCCACGGTTTCAAAACTGAGCGTTACTGTTATCCTGACAGTCATGATCTCCACTCTGCTACAGGCTGGATTCGGGTGGACGGCCAACAGTGTAAACTAATACACATCACCTCCACTGCATCATTATCGCGTTAAGAAATCTCAGGACACAGCAAAACCGAGTCACTGCGGATGGTTACGTCACATCCATTAACGAAACCACTCCACTTTCGTTAAATAATCACTGGGGAAATTGCCACTGAGCAGCTCAATGGAGAAATGAAACGGAGTCGTTTCAGATCCTATGATGAAAAGGGGCCAGATTCAGGAACCGCGAAGCTACTGGGCTGGTTACACCATGTAAAAACTCCACACAGGAGTCTTAATGGCTCTACAGGCAGCTGGATCAACTGGATCACAGATCACAGGTTCAGACAGTGTGATGATGGCAATAAGCCTTGAGTAAAGGCAAGTTATCACTGACTTACATCCCTCATCGCGCCGCCATGTGGCCGGGAAATGGCAGTGTACCTCAAGTAAACGCAGGTTATCATTCACTTACATCCCTCATCATCTTGACAGCTTCCCGTGTCCTTCCCAGCTTCCGGGAACACATGGCAAGCCGCCTCTTAATATACACCAGGACATTAGTGTCTCTTCCTGCAGGGGACAGAGGACATCGCCGCAACGCGGCTGCTCAGCGCAGAGCGTGGGAATGTCCCTATGAAATAGGAAGGTCAGCATGTGGCAAAGGAGCCACCAAGCAGACAGGAAGTGCATGGAGATCGGCTGCTTTCAACTATGCACTGCCTTGTGTGTGGCGGTGATGTGCTATTGATGGTTCGGCTTGGTGTGTATATGAGAGCGTTCACTAGCACTATGCTGCATCTCGTGCTACGTGCCGTGGTGCCGTGTCGTACTCACTGTGCTACGTGCCATGGTGCCGTGTCGTACTCACTGTGCTGTGTCTCGTGCTGCCGTGTCGTACTCACTGTGCTGTGTCTCGTGCTGCGTGTCGTACTCACTGTGCTGTGTCTCGTGCTGCGTGTCGTACTCACTGTGCTGTGTCTCGTGCTGCGTGCCGTGGTGCTGTGTCTGCTGGCTGCGCCGGTAGCAGCCCTCTCCAGCTTTCAGCGCCTGCTTAAAGAGCTTCTCGGCTTCCACGATGGTGGTGGCCTCTTCCTCCGCCAGTAGGATGTACGCAGTTGCACAGCTGCAGCACAGTAGGGTCGTTTCTGTCAGTGACACTAACCCTGAATGTCCCGTCCCGAGAGGCAGGCAGCACAGCAGCGGACATGGGGAGCAGGTGGGGGGGGGGGGGGGGTACGTACTCCTCTATGTCCAGAGCTTCATGAGCGGCGGAGATCCGGGCCTGAGGGTTCCTCTCTCTCCAGGCCTTCTGCATTACTGTCAGAGCGGAAACACTCATGCTGAGCACAGACTACACACAACCAGAACAGAGCCAGAACCAGAACTAAGTGGCAGCACAGAACCTGGAGTACCTGGAATGTAGGCTAGTGATGGACAAAAATGATGCTCCACAAACCAGCAGGGTCAAAAAATACAGCGAATGATTCATGAAGCGTCATTTTCTTTATCACTAATTTACGCCCCGGGGTATATAAGCCCATGAGGCCTTGACACTGTCAGATGCCTCTTATAAAGCTCTACAGTCAGGGGACCAGCTGCTACAGATCCTTGAGGGTGACTCTAGTAAAATGCTCGCTTGATACAGACAGATCTACGCCGACGCCATGGCATCACTTACTGGCATCGGCCGGGCGCAGGTGGTCCGAGTCGCAGGTGAAGAAGGTCTGGTGGTCCTGGGCAGACAGGTTCATGTCGTAGTAGGTGAGCGGCTCTCTCCCCGTCACCCACGTGTACCTGGTAGGCAGGCAGACACACACACGCACAGTGAACGTCTGTGGTTACTTATACCCTATAGGTGCTAGAAGGGGACACCAACACTGTATTTACCGCGCAGGAATAACCCAGGAGTATATAAACGAGCGCCGAGCACACAGCATAGTGCTTCCATTTGTTAAGGTGAGTGCAGCAAAATTAACCCTCTACATCCCAGGGGTAACAAAGCAGATGCTTCTTGTGCTATAGCATGTGTTGGTGTTTAAGTGTAACTCCTGTTAGAAAGGCAAGGCAAGTGCCGCTGAGAGGGACAGTGAAGGTGCTGATCCTCACATCAACCCAGGCCACATTTTTGCTCCTTCCCAGCTCTCAGCCAATCAGGAACACAGAATACCTGGTACAGGTGTGCTGGGAGCTGGAAGGGAGCAAAAAAAATGGACTGTCTGTGGGTCCCCAAGAAAACACTGGTTCAGACTAGCATGTTGCCATTCAAACACACTTCAGGTAACAGCGGCATCCGACGGAAGCAGTGAGCTAATGCTAAGCTAACCGAAAGTTTAGCTTAATGCTAAGCTAACCGAAAGTTTAGCTTAATGCTAAGCTAACCGAAAGACTTCACAAGCAGCTCCAAAAGCAGGCTGCCATCAGAGGAAACTGTCACACGCGTGCACAAGTGCTTCAAGCTGCTGTCATCAAACCAGGGATGTTTTTAACTTTCCAGAAGTTTCAAGTGTAATTCTGAAGACTGACACGTGAGACCACATACTCACCTGTTGTACTCTGCCCCTCTGAATAAATTCAGTGGATTCCTCCACACCTTACATTCTGCCAGTGACAACAAGGGGAAAAAAAACTTTAATCAACAGTAGGGGGCACTGCATCATGCATTACAAAGTGAGCTTGTCGCTTGTAGACCAACATGCATCCGGGACGAGCGAAAATGTCCGTACCATGTGCCTATGATAAAGCATTTGGGTGTTGACGAGTACTACAGTAGTACGGATAGAGTACTACATAGCTATAGCTGTGTACACAGCAGTCTGCTGAAAACAGAAATCCAGTGCTGCCCAGTCAATCAATAAATTATTCAAGATGAAACATTTACAAATTATTTTATTTTCTCCAGGAGACATCATTAGAGTGACAGCATGAACCTGGGCAACAATTAATAATGCAAACAGAGGCCGTTTACCTGACACACTTTGTCGACTGGAATCTGCGTCACTGTTGCTGGGATTGGAGTTGCTGGGTGAGCTGTTATCGACTCCCCCCAGCAGAGGGCGTAAGTGACTAACGGACACCTGCTCGATGAAGGAAGTCCCATACTTCCTAAAATACCACCATTCGAATATCTGCAAGATCAAAGCATTTCAGTGTGAAGTTTAGAAGCTGTTGCTGGCTTAAAAACACGCTGAGACAGACTGTAAGCCCTAATCAGGCATGTACTTCATCCTTCCCAGGACCAAACGTAAATACAGACTGGCATACCGCGTATTAGATGTTTGTTTTGGTCCCAAATTACTAACAACCTAAGACATAATGATTCAGTCCTTTATGGTTCACAAATTACAACATGGACAATTCTTTCTTGGACTCAAAAGGTTATGAAGCATGCAGCAGCAGTGACATCGAGTTGCCTGAAAGAGGCGGTTTCAGTTAAAGCAGGGGGACAAATGGCTGACGTCGGTCTGACCCGCGTGCCTTATGCTCACCAGGATGAGACCAGATATCAGGGACGACGTTCCGGTCAGAGCCACGTAGAACTTGGGGGTTAACGTGTTGAGGAACATGCTCACTGTGGACAAGAGCAGAAAAATTAAGCGTTGCGTCACTGAGGGCGATACTAAACAGCCACAACAGTGAAGACACAGAATTCGCCTGTAAATAATCCCTACGAGGTGTGATGTACGATCACAATAGCAAACAAAACGGAAATGAAACCTTAACACCCAGCCCGACACACACAGGTACACGCACACGAAAGCACACAGTCCATATATCCATATCTTTGTGGGGACTCTCCATTCATTTCTATGGGCACAACCCAAATCCCAAATATGACAACCCCTATCCAGTTCTAACCCGAACCATAAGTTACCAAACAAAATACAAAACTTTTGGCTATTTAATTTTTTGACTGCAGTCACAGATTTTTATAAAATTGAAGTTATCCTTGTGGGGTCCAAAAAAATGTCCCCAACAAGGTAAAAAGTTACAGGTTTTTTGAATCACATTGTGGGGAAATCTGGTCCCCACAATGTAATAACTTCTAAGACACACACACACACACACACACAGACACCGTCTGGCCCCAGCTGCCGCCCTCCCTGCCGACTTGCATGTCCCGCCCGGGGCGACGACGACAGACAAAGGCGGCACTTGTGGCCTTGGCACACGCCTGGCAGCGAAGCCACTTTAGCGGCGTGCAGCTGGGCCTGCGCCCCGACACCAAGCAAAGTGCCCACTCTCCCTTAACAAGGGGGCGTTTCAGGAAGAGCGCCGGCCCACTTGGGAGCCCACAGCCAGCCCATCAGCCCGGAAAAGCTCCAGCGCCTGATGGTGACTCAGCAGAAAAGGATTCGGCAGTTAGAATCCCAGGACCAGCAGAGTGATCGTGTGACCTTGTGCAAGGCCCTCGACTCCAACTGCACAAGGCAAGCTCATAAACCCTGCCTCTGATACCGCTGGTACATCACTTTGGAGGGGGAAAAAAAAAACAGCTGCTAAATGAATATGTGTACAAAGCCCCACCTGGAGGCAGTAGTGCAGCGGTGGCCAATCTTATCCGCAAAGGGCCGGTGTATATGCAGGTCTTTGGGATAACCTGTAGGTCAGCTGTTCAAACCCAGGTGTGAGGACTCCTCAGCCAATCAGTCCTCTAATTAGTAATACGATTAGGGAGCTGCAGCGAAAACCCGCACACACTGCGGCCCTTTGCGGGTAAGACTGGCCACCACTGCAGTAGTGCATAGAATGTGCTTATAGCGCCACCTACCAGCAGCAAAGGGACAGAAAGGAGGAAATAAACGCCAACATGATGATGTGGACAGTGCTGGTAGCATCACGGTCAGGGGTTACAGTTACCGTTAATAAACTGCCGTGCTGCCTTGCTGTGGCCACTTTAATGAGAAAACGTGAGATTCTCCTGGCAACGGATTCTTTGGGAACCTCGGTAACGGCAGCCAACGCCAGGCAAGAATAAACATGCAAAAACAGACCCATAAATAATGACGACAGTCAGTAAGAAGTGCTTGAGGAAGCATCGCTCTCCCTTATGGAGACTCTCGCTCCCATCCACGCAAACCCCGTTTGTGCTCATTACACAGCAACAGGAATGAGGATTCGGTGCATGTAGCTGTTCAGTGCCATTCGCTGAGGCACAGAAGCAGATACAAACACATTAAAGCTACACCGAGGAGGACCAACATCAGTGCAATAACAAAAAGCTTAGAAAGTAAAACAACTTTAAATTTAAATAACCAATAAAAGAGTTCAAATTAGTAATTTAACAATAAAAACATACTGTCTCTCAGTGTTTCGTCAGAGGAGCAATTACAGACATGCATATTACAACATTCTTAAAGTAATTACAACATGCAATAAAAGCATAACGCATGATAAGAGAAGCTGGACTGGAATCAGGCAGCTTGCAGCTGTGAATAAACTTCATAACCTGTTAACACTTATAGCAGAAGATGAAGAACATCTGAAGATGTTAAGTTAAAAGACAGAGTGAAAAGCCAGGACTCAAGAATACAATGGTTATGGCCAGGCAACTAACTTTAGCGCCATAGACAGAGCGAGAGGCCGACGACTGGGGCCACAGACAGAGCCGACAGTGAAGACTGAGGCCACAGACAGAGGCAGAGGCAGATGACCGGGACCTCAGACAGAGGCAGACGACCGTGACCACAGACAGAGGCAGACGACCGGGACCACAGACAGAGGCAGACGACCGGGACCACAGACAGAGGCAGACGACCGGGACCACAGACAGA